GGTAGGGTGGGGTCGGGGTAGTAGGGTTGGGCGGGGTGGGGGGTAGCGAGTAGAGGGGTAACAATAGTGTAAGGGCAAGGGTAAATTCGTAAACTGAAAAGGTTTAAAGTGCCGCTTAATTAATACATGAGGGGTGGTATGCTTAGTAAACGGCACTTTAAGCACCTCTTTCGATTAGTAAGCGGCTTTTTAAGCCGCGTGTGTGTTTACTTCACCTGTTTTACTAACTTAACTGTGACTTTAGCAGCGAAGTAAACAACTCCTAAGTCATTAACGATTGGGAAGAAGTTAAACAAGGTCCTGCAGTATAAAAGTCAAAGCAGTTGTTTCAAATAAGAATAAAACGAAATACATAAATAAGAGTATTCATGTTTAATCTTAAAATATGATCCATTGATTCATTTCATTCTAAAAGGGAATAAAAGTAGATAAAACTGACGAGGTAGGAAACAAGAGGATATTTTGACCATTATGATTAGAAGACTTTTGCTTGGACTTATAAGGAGGAATATTCGTGATACAATAGTTATGGAAGGTCCTCTGAACAATCCAGCAAAGAACTAATTCATGCATCACAAATTGACTAAGAAACAACATCATGTGCCCAACATGTGATGCGATATGCATATCACTTTAGTTCCATACCAGTACCGGACTACCGGTAGTGTTCCAAATGGATGTCTGTTCAGTTATGGAATGATCCATAACCACTAACCAACTTGGACCAGTTTTGAGCATTAGTTCAAAATTCAAATCAATGTTCTAAAAGGCACTAAGCGCTAGTCGGGCGCCAACACCATGCTTAGCACCTAGGCAGCTAGGCGGGCGCCTAGGCCGCGACTAGTCGGAGACACATAAATTGTATTTTTATCAATATCTTTGCATAAATATGATAAGTAATACATCCTGAAATGGTAGTATCGTGTTTGTGTGTGTATGAAAAGTATATACACACACATTAACATGCATGGATGATAGAATTGTCACATGCAGTAAGTATGATAACTAATCACTTAATTGCATTATCTTATACTCCCTCCGTCCCCCTAACTTTAACCCGTTTTACTTTTTTCGTCCGTCCCATTAAGTTTGTCTCATACCATATTTGGTAATATTTGGGTGGTTACAATTCATTCTTACTTTATTCACACTTTATCAATTTAATATCAACTACACAATAACACTTTTCTTGAAAGTTGTGTCACCCCCCTTTGTCCCAAACATAGTGGGACGGGGGTAATAAATATTACTCCATCCGTCCCTATATAAAAGACACATATTGAATTGCACACATCATTAGGAGGAATACTGTTCGACACTGTTTGAACATTGTTTTCACTATTTTGCACTGTTTTGTTTGCCGAAAAAAGAAATGAGCCTTTTATAATTTATATATGGACAGTCTAAAAAGGAAAGTGTGCATTTTATATAGGGACGAAGGGAGTAAATAATAATAAAATTTAAGTATACATACAAACATATATAATTTTTATCTTAATTTAAAAGTATCTTTCTTCATAAAACCAGGCCTGAACAAACATCCATTTGTTCAAATCCGGTCCCAACCAAGGATGTTTTTATTTGGACTATTTTCAATCTCATACCAGAACTGATCAGACTCAAGTTCCTCACTATTGCAGTAATAACCTCCCGCTAACATGACTACCCTAGTGTTCTAAGATTTATTCTTTAATTCTTATTCGATCACTTTATGAACAAAATAACAATTCACCTTCAGTCTTTTGTAAAATTAGTACTCTGTATTAGTTTTACAATTTTACTAATGTTTCTAAAATTAGGGTAGTTGATCAAAGGACTATAGTAATAATCAATGAGTGCGATCTTCAGTTTAGTAGATAGCTATCGTTCTATATTCAAGCCTGTAAACTAATAGAGCACAAAATTGATTTACAATGCTTATTTTCAAGATATGAAAAGCATAGCCAAAAAGTAATATTTACAAAAGTGACTTTGGAGCAACCCAAACAAACTATGGTCTCATTCTTTTGAAATCATAAACAGGTAAAATAAATTAGGCAAAACTTAATCCTAAGTGAACAAAATTGTACACAAAATGTTGGATTGATGCATTCCTCTTGAAAGGCAACTATTGTATCCACAGTTACTTGTAATTTGAAACCAATTAATCTGTATGAACCTGAAAACAAACATCAAAAGAATTTAATTCCCAGCCATAAACCTGGACATAAGATTTAAAATAATAATAATAATAAAATAAAAAAAGATTATGTCCACAACCTTTTTCAGCTTTAGTAGATGAGTCAATCTTCCCCCAAAAAAATTGTTTACTTGTATGGTGCAAACAAAATGGATGAGTTTTGGCCACCAAATCCAAATGAATTAGACAAAGCTACCTTAATATCCAGTTTCTCCTTTTTAGAGCCCACAAGAAACTTTGTGTCCTGTTTTGTTGCAGGACGCTGTTAATCAGACAGCTTATGACCAGTAACTAATGCTTGTAATGAATACGGAAAACAATTAATCTGATCTAATACACTGAAAAGCCACATTGCCACTAGAGAAAAATGATGAAAAGGATAACTTATATAAGAATTCATACCACCCCTTCATCCGGGTTATCAAGATTGATATTTGGATGAATCCACCCTGTCCGAATTGCCTGCAAGTATGCACATCATTTTTAGAGTGATAGGCTCTTCATTGGCAAATAATATACAGCACTAGGTGTTTGACAAAATAGTTGATAAGCCAGCTTCTAATTACAAAATAACAAAAACGATATGTTTAAATGAATGAAAAAAGGTTAGAAATATAATAATAACAAAGTAGTGAAAAATTATATCTATATGAAAAGAAACTTATAAAATGAACTCGATCCAATCTAAAAGCTCCATAACCAAACAAAACTGTTTCTAATCCCGTTAGGCATACCACCAAAATTAGTGGGTAAATGCCGGAAAACATTTACCAAAATTTTATTAATAAAAAATAAAATACAAGAGAGAGGGGGGCCAAACCAAAACCTCTCCGAAGATGGCACACCATCCCGAAATAAACAAACAACAATTATTCAAAAAGATTCTTCTAAAAAAGACATAGTAATACAGATTATAAGTTACACTATTTTCGAATTTCAAAGTTTTGATCAATTATCAGGAAATTGATTCTATAGAAGGAATCATAAAGAAATAATGTAATACAAAATGTGTTACTACTTACTAGAGTCCAAAGTATAATTGACATCTTATTACCACATATAAGCAAATTGACATATATTTCCACTCTGTATATTTGAATTAAAGTTACATTGTAATATGGTTTAGGTTGTACATGAGAATATAACATCAGAATTTGGAAATAATTCCAAATATATAACCAAAATAAAAGTAATGGACAAAAATGTGACTCTAGTAACTTTAGTGACTATAATTGTATTTAAATGTTACGTCGTAGTGACTATATTAAATCTTACGTCATAGTGACTATAAAGCTTACTCATTATAATTTATAGTCACGTTTTTGTGATTTTGTCCATAAATTTTTTATTAGTAATATTTTAGGAAACACCTCTAGAATTTGAATGATTAATATATAAGAGTTTAACATATGTAATTTAAAAAAAAATAGTAATGTAAATACAAAAAGATTAATCTTCATAATTAAGTAGAAGTTCTATTTATTAATAAACCTCTTGAGTTTACAACTATTCCAAAAATAAAAAAAAACATTGTTGGTGCCTCACTGGTGATGGTCCAGGAAGTATGTTTTTTCACAGTTTTCACATGCATGACAAAAAGTAAGATGCTAATATTTCAATAGAATACTTTGTATCAAACTATTATTTTATTTAAGACCTAGTGTGTATTTTCATTGTAACTTTGTATGTTATTTAGTTAATGTCATTGTCATGTAGCACAGGTGCTATACTAGTTTTTTAAGGAAATATATGAAAGATTAATTTTACCAAGTAAATTATAACTTTGTCCAATTGAACTTTGAATTATATCAGAATACATACATCTTTAACTTGCAGCATGGGTACTATACTAGTTTTTTAAGGAAAGAAATGATAGATTGATTTTCAAAAGTACTACGTAAATTATAAATTGGCTAAAGGGTCAAATAGGCCCTTGAACTAACTTAAAGTGTTCAATTAGCCCCATATATAGGAGGTTCAACCCGGCCATCTCTAATTGTGGAGGTTCCTGGTGGAATTTTTGATGAAATTTTTTTAGCATCTTATTCATTAAGTCTAGTTTATCCATATCAAATTTTAGCTAAAAATTAAATCGCGAAGGCAGTCAAATGATTTTCCGAAATGTACTGCGTTGTTTAACTGCGCAGTTATCTTCAAAAAATCATTTGACTGTCTTCTCGGTTGAATTTCAGCTAAAATTTGGTATGGATAAACTAGACTTAATAAAAAATGAAAATGATGAAATTTACATTTTCCCAAGGTCGTGAAGCTCTAGTAGGATCATTATTTCTCCGAGAAAGTGCTTTGCAAGAATAAATCCACCCACTCCTGAAATAGAGAAATATGAAACGTGGCGTACAATGGTACAACCATAACTAGCCAAATCATTATATAATTCCAGGAAAATTGGTGTTTTACCCTACTATTTAATTGTGCATCCCATACTTTGTGTTTTAGGATGTTCACCCTAGATTATCCCAGGGTGGTGTGAAAAGTAAAAAATAAAGGTAAATCATGATGTGCAAAGTTCAACAAATGGGGGAGCAATGTCTAATGGAAAATGACCGGCTCTGGGATGTTCTTGGATGCATTAATGCATGCAGAATGCAAATTCTTCAATACTTGCAAACACATAAGACAGTTACCAGTTGGTGTAATTGCATAATCAGATCCACCACAAAGCATCACATCCTTCAATTTTTTAGAGCATTAAAAAATATAAAATTCAATCCTTCAAGATATATTCACTTCTTCAAAGAGCATAAGGTAATACCACTATACTAGTAAACGCTTATGTCATATGTTTACTTACAGCGTCAGTGCGTCACCTTTTATGATGTGGTTCGCAGCATTCACAATGCAAAAGTTACCCGTTGCACATGCAGTCGATATTGAATCGTTTGGACCCATCCAGCCCTGGATGTATAAATTATAAAAACTTCAAAAACTCGATCACTTGTAGCAGGTTGAACAATCAGTTAATCGCACTTTAAAAAGTTGGTTAAGTTAACTACCAAATCAATAGAGAGAATGGCAGAGCCCATGTTTGTAACCGAAAATGGTACACAGAAGGGGTTCATCTTCTTGTAGGAGATCTGCAAGGCTTCTATTGCATCACTGAAAATCTGCATAAAAGAAATACGGAGTATTAAATAATTAAAGTCTTTAAAAGTTGTAAAGATTAGTGAATAACTGAATATCTGGTTTCTTGAGAATGAGTCATTCATCTGAAAATCTGCAAAGGCATGTGTACTTCACTCTTAAATAAAACATCGATTCTTTGAGCAAACATTAAGATAAGTCAAACAAACCCTTGTGAATTTTTTAGTCATTCATTCAATCAAAATATAATACCAAAAAATAATATACATTATTAAAACATGCAACAAAATAAACAACAAATCTCTGTATGATCAACTGAATTTTCGAACATTAATTTGAAGAAAATTACCTTCATTCCACCCATAGCAGAGTCACTCAAAATTCCACACCTCGTCTTGTCCAATCCACCCATCACATCATCTGTAATTCCACCATCAAGTAATGCTTTCTTTCCTGCTATCAGCAAGAAAAGCATAAACCTGTCCAATCTTTGTGAAAGTTTAGGTGAAACACAGCCATCTATGGAGAAAGACTTGATTTCTCCAGCAATTCTCTGCAATGCAAAATTATTGCTACTAACAGAAGGATAAGATTTCAATAAGAAGAGTTGTGAAGAAAGAGCATACTGTTGAGTATTGGGAACAATCAAAAGCTTCGATCTCATTAATGCCACTAACACCTTCAAGTAGGTTTCCATAAAACTCATTGGGTTCATGACCAAGAGGAGATACAACACCCATACCAGTCAGAACAACTCGTCTTTCTTTGATAGAAGATTTCTCCTTTGAAACAATATCATTTGCATGATGTGTAGCAATGCCTAATACTTTCCCTGGACCACATGAGTGGTGAAATTGTCATTTTTAGTTGGTGATTAATGTCATAGCAATATGACACAAGGAAATCAAGAGAAATTATTTGTGACCTGCAAACTACACCTTCCATCCCTTAATAAAGTTTGTGCTTTCACCTTTATGAAGTTAAAGGAACTCTACAGTTTTTAAATTTTTTATCCTTTTATCTTTTCATTTTTATCTTTATCTTATCTTTTTATCTTTTTAATTTATCTCCGATTTCATAAATCATATGTCAATTTATGTTAGCTGACCCCAAACTCTTTTATACTAGTGAACTACAGCTTGAATGTAGTTGTTGGTGTTACTATTTTGACACTATATACATACTGACTTATTGTTATTCGATGGTAGTAAAGTAAATTGATAAGATTGTTTCACCAAAAACAGATATTTTACTTAAAGACGACCAAAGAAGAAACACATGGACTTTAAATAGAGATGGAGAGAGTAAAATGAAACATGACAAAGCTCTACTGACATTATATATTATCTAAAGTTCACACTACCAATAACACCTAAAGGGTATTTTAAATGCCCAAATAAACTACTTGTCGACCTATATTACAGTTTTGATCTGCATAATCAAAACCGTGAAAGTTCAATTTAACTTCAACTCCAATAGAGTAAATGCCCAAATAAATTTAACTCCAATTTAACAGCAGTATGTGATTACCAGGACGATTAGAGATATTGCATTGGAAGTGTCTAATCAGAAAGGCATACTTCGAAGACCCAAATAAAGAAGAGAAGCCATTACGAGCAAATTTGGATGTGGAAATCCAGGCAGAGAATCCGGAGCTAGTGCGATTTAGCGCCGCTATGGAACCCCTTCTCGGTTTTCCAGCACTGCCAATCCGGGAATAATCATACACTGATTTGCATTCCAGATTCAACAAAATTGAACACCGGCCGATTCGCGACTTCACATTGCCCTTTACGAAACCAACCGGACCGCATGCAGCCATTAACGGTGGCGGCATCGTCGAGGATCCCATCTCCTTCTCCTCTCTCTGCTTCCCAGCAACCAAGCGCAGGCTCTTACTCTTTGCTCGCGTGAAGTATATAGTACAACAGCAATGCAACAAGGCGAGAGAATGATTGGGTCTTAATGTCGTACCCAGATCAAATCAATTGAAGAAGATGAAGAAGCATTGATATTGAGAGTAGTATAAATGATTAAAGGGATAAGGGTCAGTTTGGTCCTCGAAGTTGCAAGAAAGGGGTCAAATAAGTCCTTATATAGAAAATTCTGTCCGGACGTGCCATTTGAGGTGGCTCCCGGTGGAATTTTTTGATGAAATTTTTTGAGCATCTTATTCATTAAGTCTAGTTTACTCATACCAAATTTCAAATAAAAATTCAATCGGGAAGACATTCAAATGAATTCTTGAAGATAACTGTGTCGTTAAAAGCACAATTATCTTCATAAATTTATTTGAATGTCTCCCTGATTGAATTGTTAGCTGAAATTTGGTATGAGTAAACTAGAATTAATGAATAAGATGCTAAAACAATTTCATCAAAAAATTCTATCGGGAGCCACCTCAAATGGCACGTCCGGACAGAATCTTCTATATAAGGACTTATTTGACCCCTTTTTTGCAACTTCGAGGACCAAACTGACCCTTTACTCAATGATTAAATGGGATTATAGTTATTCTTCTTCTCAAACGAGAAATAGGAGACGAAGAAGACGGAGTGTTGCGTGGCTAGTGCTGAAATGCAAGTCCATTTTACTGCGAAAAACGGGAGAGATAAATTCTCATGTGCGATATTCATGTTGTACTCTTCATAAGATACGTGATTACGTATCCCTTGTTTTGTTAAATAGAGTTTTTCAACTTTTAGTTCTGACAATTATTGACATTTTTTATAATTGATTTTGATTGTTTTCACTTTTAGTCCTCGTCTATTATTCTAGAGACATTGTTTATACTCGTCTTTCAAAATTTTCATATATAATTGTTCGACTTACATAAAAGTGACATTTTTATTTTTCAACTATTATAATAACAATATTTTTAGTCTTCCACTTATTATGTCAAAATCCTAATGAGGATTTTGAAGTGTAAATATCAGAATACCCAGAGGACTAAATGTGGAAAATTTTGAAGTCGAGGACTAAAATCGCCTCCAGCACAATAGTCAAGGTCTAAAAATGGAAAAGTTAAAAGTTGAGTACCAGAAATGTCATTAACACAATAGTTGGGGGACCGAAAACGGCAAAAATTCAGTTCAAATATGACCAGGGATATTTTTAAGGTGAAACAGAAACAGATAATTTCACCCCTTTCAGCAGTCAAAAATGCATGGTGTACGTGATATTTTACACGCTTGTGTACACCGCCTATAAGCCCTATCTTTTAATTCAAAACCTCTTCACGTGCGCGAGCTTATCTTCAAAAAAAATCTCGCCAGCCCCAACAACTTCCCTTCCTAGTTGCCCATATGTCTTTTTTTCCCTTCTCTTTCCCGCATCCCCACATAAAAATGTAGCAGAATCTCATGGTTCAACCACCCACTCCCTCCTTCGACAGTCATTCACCGTCAAATTCCTCTCTCCCTCAAAACATTTGTCCGCCCTTGAACTTCAACCCACAAAACCCATCCCCCCCGCTCGCCGTCTACTTCAACTCACAAAACCCATTCGTCCTTCTGTACGTTCTTCGAGTTCAGCACGTACGTCTATGCTACAGGTTTGTGTACCGTCCTTGGAGTTCCTGTTGAACGTCTTGAAGTTCATTGCAATCGAACACTCGTGTACTTCGACACCGGCTACAACCTTTGAAGAACAGAAGCAAGCAAGGCTAATGAAGAAAATGGTGCGCACAACATTGAATGAAATGGCACAAAGGTAAATTTATGTTGAACCAACACATTATGAATCCCCTTTTTACGGACATGTACAATAACCTATTTGTTCTAAGTTAAGTTGGTTTGTTGGTATGGTTTTGAGATGTTTTCCGAGTTTTGAGATTTGAGTGTGCTTTTTAGATGCATGTGTGGTTTGCAGATGTCTGTATGAATTTGAAATGTCTTTGTGCCTTGCTTATTGAATTCATAGTAATCTATGATGGGTTGGTGTGTCGTTTGATAGTTCTTCTTGTAATTCAAAGTTGTCTTTATACACTGAGATGTCTGTGTTTCAGCCTTTCAGGCACATATGTGTGCACATGTTTTAGAGAGTGTTTGCAACTGCTTCTGCTTAAAAATAAGTTTTTTTTCTAATGAAATTGAAAAAGTGATGAACTGTATAAGTTGACAGTGTTTGGAAAATAAGTGATTTTACAACAAGGTGTTGAAATTGGAGTATTTGGTAAAAAAGTGATTATTGATGTAATTTTTATTAATGTACAAAAATGCCCCTCTTTCATTAAACCTTTTATCACTTCCACGTATTTCGTTATATCCTCGTTCCTTCTACGCAGAGCTGCGGAAATGTCAACTCCAAGACGTCGAAGAGCAGAGCTAGGGTTGGCCAAACCAAATCCTTCGAAACTGGGTACGTTAGATCCGAACATTGGCTCCATTTTACACTCATATAGTTAGGTCTTGTTCTTTGATTGAGCTTTGTCCTATAAACGCACGGAAATGCCGGAGGGTTGAAGTTTCCCGTATCAGAAACGTACTAACATTTCCGAACGGATTAAACGGAGAATACGCGTCCCCACCCCCCCCCCCCCCCCAAAAAAAACAGAGCTTCAGAATTGTTTTGACCAAGTCTCCTCTAGTTAAGTCTTTTCTTTATTGGAGTGTTTGGCTTTGCTACTGCAATTTGGGTCTTCTTTGAATGGCTGGAGTACCATTGGAGATTGTTCTTTCGTTTATTAGATTTGTTTTGTGACAAAAAAAAACTAGGAAGCTGAACCAATCAAAGTATCAAACATAGGTAGAATTAAACCTCCAGGAGATTACGACTTAATTGAGTTAATTCTTTCTCCTTCTGCGAATCGGACTCCTGGATTGCTGGTTAACTTCTTCTCTTATGGGTCGGTGTTGAGATTTGAAAGTTGAAACTTTGTATGTAGTTGGTGGGGGATAAAAAAAATCAAATGAATATAAGTGATGATGATGTGGTGTCCATTAAAGGTGTAATTTGTGTTGGCGGCCAGCATGTACTTATTTATTTTGGTGAATTATTCACTTTATAATTAATGTGTTGGTGTTGTGTTTTATGTTATGTTATGAATTAATTATTAAATGATTAAAATATGGTGAGTTATTATTATTTAGGATGTTTAAGGTGGTTTTCCACCACATGATGTTTTTGAATGTTATCAAAGCTGCTGGTTTTCTCAAACATTTCTCCATGATGAGAATTGAGAAATTTGAGCATCTGTTAGTGTATCGAATGATGTTGTATTGGTATTTTTTCAACACTATGAACTTCTCAAAATATTTGCTCATTATACATATCCTCTAATTGAATAGGGAATCCCAAGATGCACCATAATGCTAGGGTCGATGATTTGTTCGCAATGGTGTCTTGGACACAGAATGAAGAAAAGTTTCTTATTGAAATGCTTCTCCACTTTCAGAGAAATAAGGTGTTGCTTATGATAAAAATGTTTTAAAAGAGATTGCTTCTCTTCTGGTTAAGACATTTCAGAAACATTTCTGCTATACGAAAGTCTTAAAAGAATGTGATTCATTGAAAGC